GCCTTGATCTCCCTGAGCTCAGATCCTCCCACCTTAGCCTACCATGTAGCTGGGACCACAGGTGTGCACCACCACACCTGGCTAATTTTTCTATCTTTTGTAAAGACAGAGTTTCACCATGTTGCTGAGGCTAGTAAATGTTATTATTTTAAAAATAGTAGAGGTCGGCCAGGTGCAGTGGCTCACGCCTGTAATCCCAGCACATTGGGAGACCGAGGCAGGCAGATCACCTGAGGTCAGGAGTTCGAGACCAGCCTGGTCAACATGGTGAAACCCCATCTCTACTAAAAATACAAAAATTAGCTGGGCGTGGTGGTGGGCGCCTGTAATCCCAGCTACTCGGGAGGCTGAGGCAGGAGAATCACTTGAATCCAGGAAGTAGAGGTTGTAGTGAGCCAAGATCACGCCATTGTACTCCAACCTGGGGGACAAGAGGGAGACACCGTCTCAAAAAAAATAAAAATAAAAAAAGTAGAGATCATACTATATACTGCTTAGTCGCCTGTTTTATTTAGTGATGCGCTAGGGAGTAGTTTTCATTTTACCAGATATTAACTAATAACATTACTGTTAATATCTGCATATATTTGATCCTATGAACTTAGCATATTTTATTCAGGCAATCTCCTACTGACTACCATTCAACTGGTTTTGGTTTGATTCAGAGTCTTTGGTGAGGAGACCCATGAACAAGTGCCAAGGTCTAATGTGTGCGTGGTCACTGGATGATGCCTATTCTTTGTCACAGCCCATAGCACAGATGGAAGAAGTGCACATATTAATAAGAGTAAGCTCTTCACTGCAACTGCTCAGGACTCATTTTGAAGAAGAGACAGATCTCTAACAAGATTTTGTAGGTAGGCAAAACAGAGGGCCTATAATTAGGTTATTAGAATAAAGATGGTTTTGTACTGATTTACTCCTCTCTAGGAAGGAATATGGTAGGACCCGCCACATGGGTAAGCTTTCTCAAGTCAATTCTCTTCACACGACAACTGCAAAGAAGCTGGTAGGGCAAGGGCTTTCCCAACAATGGTGCGGGGCAGAGGCCGCGGCACATGCTCACGTCTCTCTTCCTCTCAACTGATAGGACTGAAAACATTCTTTGTAGACCAGGGCTGGATTTGAACCCCTTAATATACTTTCATTTGATTTATTGATCCAGTTAATCCTACACTTTTTATAAAATACTTGTATCAGTTCCATCAAACAACTGAGAAAGTATTAGGATTAATTCAGTAGATTTCTGTAGATTCAATATAACTATAGAAATATATTGGTATATATAAAAATATCTGTTGGAATTTTCAATTAACTCAAGTTATGAAGGATATTCCATACACAAGAAACAATTATTCTTATGTGCCTGAGGCCTTGGGAGCTAAGGGGTCATCTGCAGGAGGAAGCTCAGAGATGCCAGAATCACAAGAGAAAAGGGCATAAATCTTCAGTTTGTGGAAAGGAAAAACCCTGGCTCCATGTCACTAGAGCAACTAAAGTTCAAGAGTTAAGGGCCCTGTGAGAAAGTTGAGAAATTGCTGGATGCAAGCCATAAGTGGGTCATTACACTAATTTAGTGAGTTAAAACAATCAAATGAAATAGAAATGTTAGAGGTTATCACATGAAGTAAGGGTAATTACTGTTTCATGAACCATATGTATGGGTATCCATGTATATGTATGTAGATTTGAGTGTGTTCACATGTTTGCATGCAAGTATATGCCAAATTACAATAGAAAGTATCTTTTACTGTGGGTCATGGTCAAAAATTTGAAACCTGTTACTCCATGAGAAGCTAGATATAAATAAAAGTAGAACTATTAACATTATACATTGATCAATCGATTCTTGATTCTATAAATAGGTACTAGAAGATGTTGCTCAAACTTTAAAGTTCCTTTAGAGATTCTTTTTCTCATGTGAGAATTGGAAAGGGTTGGCAGAAAATTCCCATCTTAAATGGTTTAAAATAGATGTCTTAAGTGAAACTTATCCTCAGACCTTTTACCTCCATACTGTGACACAACTTTAAGAGTACTTACATGAAGGCCATCCTGCCTCAGCAAACAGGACACTTAGCACTATTTTTTTTGGCAGGGGCGGTGGGTGGTACAGGATCTCACTCTGTCGCCCAGGCTGGAGTGCAGTGGCACAATCTCGGCTCACTGCAACCTCTGCCTCCTGGGTTAAAACGATTCTCCCACCTCAGCCTCCCGAGTAGCGGGACTACAGGCGTGTGCTGCCATGCCTGGCAAATTTTTATACGTTTTGGTAGAGATGGTGTTTCACCATGTTGGCCAGGCTGAATTAGCATTATTTTATACATGCACATGCAATAAACAACTAAACATGGGAATGGGGCTATAAAAAATAATAGCCTAGGCCAGGTATGGTGGCTTATACCTGTCACACTTAATCCCAGCAGTTTGGGGGGCTGAGGCGGGCAGATAGATTGAGCTCAGAAATTCAAGACCAGGCTGGGCAACTCCTAGTTTTGTAGAAACCCCGTTTCTACAAAAAATATAAAAATTAGCTCGGCATAGTGGTGCACACCTGTAGTCCCAGTTACTCAGGAGGCTGAGGTGGGATGATCACTTGGGCATGGAAGGTGGAGGTTGCAGTAAGCTGAGATGGAGATCGCACCACTGCACTCTAGCCTGGGTGACAGAATGGCAACCTGTCTCAAAAAAAAAAAAAAAAAAAAAAGCCAAATCTTCATACAGCAATGCCAAATCACAGCTTTTCTCATACCTTTTTCAATAACTAGATGGTTAATATCCTCCAGTATGTTAACTGACTCAGCCAGCCAGGGCAACATTTTATTACCCAGCTAGGATTGCTGTGTCACCATCTTACTCGGAGTAAATGACTGTACAGGGGTTTTAGTAAAGTTACTTTTATGGTACAGACAGATGACCAATAGATTGGCAACCTCAGTACCTCATCATCCTTCAACTCACCCATGCAGAACTCTATAGCTTCAACAAAATACTTAAACAGTTTTAAAAAGATCTGAGCTGATTCAAAGAAGGTATCTGAAAGCATTTGCGAACTCACTTTAAGTTTTCCTAAAACCCAACTCTGTACAGATGGGCAGTGATCTTTCATTTCAGAAAAAATAAAATCCTGACTCTTGTGTTGCCATTTAAAAAAAAAAAAAAAAAAAAAAAAAAAAAAGGCCTGTGCTAATTACAAACTGTTGAGGTAAAATATAAGGCTCCCCTCTCAATCAACAATATTGGATTCTTATATTTCTTATACTCCACCAGAAGTTTCTACTACCAAAGTTAGATGACATAAGAGAGCAAAGTGATCATTTAAAGGACATACTGTTTATTGATCCTCGAGTTTCCAGTACTGAGTTGGTTTTTAGAAAGCTGCATACCTGTACTCTCTTATCTTATCCTTATAGAGAAATCTTCAACCATTATGCTCTTGGATATTATGGACAGTTTATATAAAGGTCTCCCATCTGGTATGCTATGGTCACAAAATATTATGTTGATCCCCTCAGCTCTCAGGGTTGGCCACCTTTTTAAATGAAAATATCTTCTTCGGCCAGACACAGAGGCTCACGCCTGTAATCCCAGCACTTTAGGAGGCAGAGGCAGATGAATCACGAGGTCAGGAAAACGAGACCATCCTGATGGCCAACATGGTAAACTCCGTCTATACTAAAAATACAAAAATTAGCTGGGTGTGGCGGCGTGTTCCTGTAATCCCTGCTACTCAGGAGGCAGAGACAGGAGAATTGCTTGAACCTGGGAGGTGGAGGTTGCAGTGAGCTGAGATCGTGCCACTGCACTCCAGCCTGGTGACAGAGCAAGACTCCATCTCAAAAAACAAAACAAAAGAAAATATCTTCCTGTGTGTGTGCTATGATGTAAAAAACTTACAAAGTTCTGGTTTATTGAATAAACAGCCATATGAATAACATCTCCTTATCTTTTAAAAATCAGCTAGTAAAGACCCCAGTCATTATTCAATGTTATTAAATGTTTCTTAAAATCTGAGTTGAAAAAAATCTAAGTGTTCAGCACTGACAAGGACTTTTCTTTCTATTATACTGGTATTCTGTTAGATCGTGAATATGAATCAACTCTTGTGTATCTTTGTAAAGTGATTTCTCCACCTAATACGAAATTTTGTGCTCTACTGCATTAGGCTAAGTTACCTATTACATTTATAGTCATTCTCTGTACTTCATCATTGAACTAGAATCTTCTGTTTTTTTTGGTGTTTTTTTTGGTTTTTTTGGAGACAGAGTCTCGCTCTGTTGCCAGGCTGGCGTGATCTCGGCTCACTGCAACCTCCGACTCCCGGGTTCAAGCGATTCTCCTGCCTCAGTCTCCCCAGTAGCTGGAACTACAGTCGCGCACCACCACGTCCAGCTAATTTTTGTATTTTTAGTGGAGACAGAGTTTCACCATGTTGGCCAGGATGGTCTCGATCTCCTGACCTCTGGTGATCCGCCCGCCTCAGCCTCCCAAAGTGCTGGGATTACAGGCATGAGCCACTGTGCTCGGCCATGAACTTGATTCTTTTAATACTTCATTCAAAAGTTTTTATCATATCCATATACTGGAATGTAACTTATGACCTGCTAGAAGTAGACTGGGTTAAAAATGATAAATGAACAAATGAACATTTCAGAAAAAGATGTCTATATAATTATGAATTGCCTAGTATTACCCTTCTGTAAGAATGAGAAGCTAAAAATAAAAAAAAAAATCCTCTTTTCTTAAAAGCGTAATTTACCAGCTTAATCTTGTGAACTGTGACTAAGAAAATACACATACCCTCTAATTTATTAGTCATTGCATAAATTTCTATGTGAGTTTCCGATTTCAATCCTTTCTAAGATGAAATCATGAAACTGCCATTGTTGTAGATCAAAAATGGTTGAATACTGGCAATTTTATGATGTTCGACCCGCACAGAAAGAAAGGATTTATTTGCCTGGAGGATATGAATGTATGAACAAAGAATTCGGTCTTACCTGAATGATCTCAGCATTCGATAGGACTTTCCTAAATCAGATACTCGTCTACAGAATGGACCCACAGCCAACTCCATCTGAAATATTAAAAGATACTCCATTGTTTTAATGTTGGAATCATTAGGGGAATATGGGACAGACCTGGATCACAGAAAGTTGTAGCTTGCAGTAAACCTAATTTTATCTGGACTGTAAGGCAAGTTGTGAAAGCCAACTAAATTTATTAAAAGGCAAGCACTTACATAATTTTTGCATTTATTTACTAAGAGGGCCCAAGATGGGACAATTCCTTCATGAAAATAAAAAAAAAAAACAAACCATTTTTGTTATATAAAAGGAAAAAGTTTAGATCATTTATCCATTGAAAAATAAGGAAAAGGAAAATTTTCAAGACTGCATGCCTATACTTCAGGCATTACAAGTCTTTTTACATCCAATATAAATGATGACAATTTTTATCAGTTAGTGTGGCTCAAGTAATTAAAAGGACTAACTCTGGAGCTTTTAGTAGCACATCTATATCAGCATTCCAAATGCTGATACTAGTTACTAGTTTGTGACCCTGGACAAGTTATTTAATCTCTTTAAGTCTCAGGTCTCTCATCTATAAAATGAAGATAATAGTATCTACTTAACAGAATAATGCAAATTAAAAGATAATTCCACAAAGCTTTATGTGCAGAGCATATAAAAAGTGCTGTTAATTGTCAGCAATTATTATCACTGTTTAAAAATTTTTCTCTTTTCAATTATTAATAAATTAATATGCTACCTAACTGGAGAATTTAGCAAATCTTGGTTTCACTTCTCTTTATTTTCCTCCTTTGACTGGAAATTCTGCTTGTCATTAATTAGGCTACCTGTTCTTTTCTACCAAGTGCATATGCAAACTTTTCACATATATGCTACTCAGGTGATAGACTGCTTCTCCACTCTTGCTATAAATAGCACTCTGGTAAAGAATGATTTAGAAAATGGTTGAGAATAGGCTGCTCCCTGGTAGTACAGCACCTTTCTTCAAGAAGCACATATGATGTAATAAGGCTTCTGTCCTGCTGGCCACCCTTACAAAAAATTGCTTAAATTCTCCTTGCCATGGGTACACTATAGAGACCCAATCGATCATTCATTTGAGAGACACTTTGACTGCCTTAGTGCTAGGTACAAGCTAGGTATGGGGATAAGATGATTAGATGATTAGACTGTCTTGCTATCACTAAATTCTCAAATTTAATAAAGAAGGAGATATTTATTTATTCAAACAATATGATTATTATCAACAAAATCAAAAGTATTTGTGTATATGTCCACATATACATATATAAACATGTATACATACACACATGATGATTGTTATTGAGCAAAATGATAAATGCTATGTCAAACTTATGACCTTAGTGTCAAGAGAGAGTTGGAGGCAGCTTCCTTGGGATGGTCTTGAGGATGAATAGTAACCAGGTTAATTTCTCTTGTAACATACTAAAGACATGGATTGCATACTGTATGTCCTAGAAGGAAACTTTACATGGTTGGGAAACTCTATAAAATGAAGAATCATAAATAAATATAAAAATAAAAATTTAAGGAAGAAAAAGGATTCTTGCCAACAATGCAAAACAGAACAGTTGTAAGCCAGTGTGCCCAACTCAAAAGATAGTAGGTGACAGGCTGTTCTTTGGAACCTGTTTCATTTCTTCACTGGGTAGGAATTTCTGGTTTCTTTCCATATGTGTCACTTACTTTACACTGAGCACAAAGGAAAAATGTGATTATCACTGTATCTTTGATATAATTCTGTTCAAATACCTAACTTTATATATATAATGGTTTCTTACATACTGAAATTATATATTTTTCATGAACTGTTTTTGTCAATTTCTCAACTACTCTAGTGGAATCACTGTCTTCAAAGACAACCTTTGCCTTAGCACTTGAGCAGGACCAAATGTTAAAACAAATAAATGGCTAGGAAAAAGTTACGATATGAGAAAATATGACCTTGAATTGCTGTAAAATGTATGATTATGTAAAAGATTTCTATGCCATAGGACAATTTCAAAATGTTAAATGTTTAAAATAAATTTTTTATCCATAAAGGACCTCTAGGATATTGTAAATCGTTTTCTTCTTCCAGAATTCCATTAAACAATAAAGGCTACGTTTTAAAGGGCAAGAGTGTTCAGTTAAGAGGAGGTGACTCTGCCATTAGCAGTGGATACAAAAGTGGCATGTGCAACTGCTTCTCTCCAGCCCCTGTTTGGAGAGAATGAGCAGTCAGCTGCAGGCACGGTGAACTAATTACATAGCTGTTCCTTCTCTACCACAGACATTTGGTTAACCACAGGGCTTCTTTGGATATTCCTAGGGCACTCCTGCCCTGACATTGCTCAGGAGAAGAAAAGGCAATAGGAATTAGAACAAAAATTAGAATTTTGATTGTCTTGTTTTCTTTTCTAAATTAATATTTTTAGGCACAAAGTGAAATAGATATAAATGTATACTTAAAGGGCACCAGAAGACCTATAAATAGAGACTGCTAGAAGTACCACTAAATAATTTAATACCAACTTCAACAGCCACTCTTTCCTTCAGGTAAGAAAATAAACTGAGGGGTGGAGGGGGAGTATGTGCTTCAGAGGACACTGTGGACAAGACCCCAAGAGATTCAGAATCAGCAGAACCCCAGTGTTATGGACAGGCTTAGTGATTTCAAAACTGCTGTGTGATCAGCGTGGGCACTGAGACCATGTGGGCACAGCAGGGAATTAATTACCTGTAGGAAACCACCTCATGCCCATGACCTGGATTCCTAAGGGGGTTGGATGTCAGGTACTTCCCTCACCATGATCCCTCCAGATGGCACCCTGCAACTACTTTCTCTTTCCTGCACTGGTGCCAGTGAGGAGAAGTTAGGATTCTTAAAGAAATCCTTAAAATACGTCATTATCTGTCTTTGCAATTGGACTTTATGGCAAATAACCAGTATTCCCAAACCTGGTCTACAGGTCCCTTCTTGAGCTTTCTCTTTTTGTTATTTACACTAGAATTGCAGGCACTTTTATCACAAGAACAGTTTTTAAACCCATGGAATATTTGTGTATTTTTTATTTCAGTGACCTCAATGGCTTTAGTTTTGAATATGAATTGATAGAACTTTCAATAATAAGGCAGTTGAAAAGCCCTCTAGTCCCCAGTTGATGCCTGTCATGAATATAAATGTTAGGGTAATGCTATTTAAATGTTTTGACTGACCGGAAAAACACTTCCAACCAAATGTGATACTGAAAGCTGAGGTACAACACATAATTGCAACTGTGGCAAGAAACCAAACCAAATGAAGTAAAACCTTGAAATTCAAGTTTTAATTTAAAAAGTGGGTGGGGAAGATCATGACATAACAGTAGAACAGTATTTGCCAGATACTGATCATAGATCTGATTAATTATGATAGTGCCTCCGCCTGTCTTTGCTGTACCCATGATCCACAGGACTGGAGCCATCCCCAAGGTGAGTGCCAGGATGTTTTGAAACTGGGACACACTGTACAGGGGTGACCAAAGGAATCTGCTTTTCAATACCACACTGCCTGCCGCAACCTAATGTCACTGCAGGGCTTAACACTGAGTAAATGCTGTGTGTTTTAATGCTTCTTCTATATTTAAAGAACAGAAAACAGAGGCTTTTGAGCATACGTTAGTAATAATGACTGATGGGTTTAATTTACCTTAAGGGAAGGGACCCAGAAAAGTTTGGCTTATTGAACAACATGTCTTAAGAAAAAACGATGCCAAATAACATTTTGAATAATGCAGTTTTTTGGAAGGTGGAAGCTCACCCCTGCCACTGGATGCTATGCATTTTGAGTAGCTGTTAGCTGCAGCAGCAAGGGTTAAAGGACAATACTTTCCATCTTTCAAGACCCATAAGGGAACATATTAAAATAAAAAAACAAAAACAAGCCTCTCTCCTACAGCACTCTCGTCTTGGCCATCTCCTGCTCGGCTGCCACTCTAATTGGACTTGAAGTGCTGCCTCCAGGAAAGTGACTCAAGAACCAGCTGGAGCAGAATGCAAATAAGCTGGTAGGGGAGAGAGTCCAGGGAAAGAAGATGAAACAAAAAGAAAAACAAAATTAAGGAGGAAAGGGAAAGAGGAGAACAGAGACCATCTGAGTATAGTTTACACTTTTTTTTTTTTTAAAACAAATAAGAGGAGGTTCTAGTACGTCACCAGATTTTTAACAAGTAATCTGAAACCACAGTAAGGGACAAATAAGACACTATTGACAAATAATTTTCTTTAAGCTAAGTGTATCTGTAAAACAAAGTAAAATGTACGGGTGCCTAAGAATAAAGTTCATAAAATGTAAAAAGTTAAAAGAGCCATATTAACGGTAACATTTAATTTCTGTTTTTATGCTGTGGCTACTACAAGCATATTTTCCAAATGAAGGTTCATTTCTATGGTCTAATGGCCCCAGGAATGTTATCTGGAAATGAAAATGACTAACTGCTGCATCAGTTAATTTGCAATGAACCAGGCTCTTGAAAGTTTAGGTTTGTGTTACCTGTTCCTTTTTTGAAAGTGTATCAAGTCTGCGTGAGCACCTGACAACCACTGACCTGATACAAGCAGTCTGTCCAAGTCCTTTCCTCCATGCAGAAATAATGAAGCAAGACACACTCCCAGATACACACAAGAATAAATATTGACATTAACATTTATCTTTATAAGCAGGGAGGATCTGGCAAACTGCTATGAAGAATTCATTTCAGTAACTATTTAGACTAGTAAAGCTAATAGCTTTGAAAGGCTTAAAAATGATTTTACCCGGCTGGGCGTGGTGGCTCATATCTGTAATCCCAACACTTTGGGAGGCCGAAGCGGGTGGATCACGAGGTCAGGGGTTTGAGACCAGCTTGGCCAACATGGTTAAACCCTGTCGGTACTAAAAATACAAAAATTACCCAGGCGTGGTGGCGCATGCCTGTAGTTCCAGCTACTGAGGAGGCTGAGGCACAGTAATCACTCGAACCCAGGAGGCGGAGGTTGCAGTGAGCCGAGATCGTGCCACTGCACTCCAACCTGGGTGACAGAGCAAGACTCCGTCTCAAAAAAATAAATAAATAAAATAAAATAAAATAAAATATTTTACCCTTGGTATGCTATACAAAAATAACAATCATCTTTGTTTCTGAATCTTTTAATGAAAGCATATTTGGGGTTTTTCTTCATTGCCTCTGATACTACTGAAAGGCTTTAAAAAATCTATCTAAAGGACAAAGAAAATGCTTTCTATAAGAGCTGATAATATTTCGCTATTTTAATGTCATTCTATCTCTCACACACATCAGATAGCTTGAAATGATTTCAAGGCTAGCCACAGAGAAGAACTGTACTCTACCTGATAGAGAGAGAACAAATAATCAGACTCCATGTCTACCTGGCCTACTGTGCATTTAAATGAATGGGAAAACTGCCTTGAAACAGTGACAGGGCAACAAGCAGTCTGTTTTCACTGTTTGAAATATGATTTCATTGCCTACATTATTGGCCAGCAAGGTTTGACCTATTGTGACAGTATAATAGTGAGAAAATCCCATATTAAGTAAAAATGGGAAGTGCTGCTTTCCTGTGGAATGAGTTATTTCACCTTAACCTTGAAATACCAAAGAGAGGGATAATTATTTTGTTAAATACAAAGAAAAATATACCTGGTATAAAAGTAACTTTAAACTTCTCCTTTTTTTTTTTTTTTTTTTAACCATTTATGCTTAAGTGGGCTTACTTTTCTTTGTGCTGCAACTCTTTAAAAACACTGATGAAAACATAGTCTTTCATTTAATAGGTATTAAATTTCATTTAATTCATTCATTAAATGAAATATTAATATTTCATTTAATAGATAATTAATTCATTTAACGGATAATAGGCCAAAACATTTTTTCTTTTGTAGTAATTCATCAATGTACCTGTGCAAAATCAGCAGCAAGTCGCATTTTCCCACCTTCACCAAGAGGTCTTATGAGACTGGCATGGCGGATAAAAAGTTCAATTGCTCTTTGGGCAATAGCCTCGGTGTTGTCAAAGACAAAATCCAAGCATTCGAAGTGTTTAAAGTAGTCACTCATAACTCTGGCAATGAAGCCTTGTAGCTCCTTCATGTACAGAGAACAAGGAACATCAGGTTTTCCTGAGCTGGATAATGACCTGTAAAAGAAAAAGCAGCCCTTTTCAACACGATGCCCTAAATTACACTCTTTGATTTTGTACCCCTCTCCCCACCAATGCTGCTATTTCAATCCTTTGTAATTTTTCCCCTTAATGGTATAAAAGACATTTTTTTTTTAATAAGTGTTAGCAGAAAACAATGTTTAAAAATTACATTTTAAAAAGTGATTTAGATGCCAGGAGGATTACTGAAGGAATTTTAGAATCCATTTACCTAAAGATTATTGAGAATGAAATAGACAACCATCTGTCTTGGATGAATCATACAAGTTCTACTCTCTGGCCTCTCAAGGTCCCTCCCAGTCTCTCAACTCTCCATCCACTCACATGTTTTGCCTGGCAAATGAATACATCAATAATGGATCCTGAAATAGCATTTTATACTTTGCAATGGCAGAAAATGCTGCTTTTCCTATACAAATTCTTGGCAAAGATCTCTCTGCTCTTGTGCTATTTAATCAGATCAGTCCAACAGAATTCTGACTGTGGAAATGGTTATGTAACAGTACACATGGTATGCAATTTTTCCTCCAGATGATGAGGTTTGGAAAGGCTTTAATTTGGATCAACAAATGATACCAGCTGATGCTCCATGAAATACTATTTATAATTTATAAATGTTTATAATTGCTCTTTAAAGAATATACTAAAGGAATATGAAATATTTATAGGAAAGAGATATGCCAAAACTAGCTAACACCTGATATTTTCTAATAAATGAGATCACTGGCTACATCATGCTGAATCTTTTTCAAAAAGCAAGTTAAGTGTTTCCATATTCTGAGAATAACGTAGAGATATTGGTGACAGTGTACAGAAGAACAACAGATATGACTAAAATGCTTAGAGCAAGAGAATGAGTTGAACTTAATTATCTTCAAATACAGCAGTGGTTGCTATAAATAGGATGCTAACCAGAGGTCCGTCACTTCCAGAAGCAGATATAGATAGAAAAAGCAGGCCTGTGTTCCAGCAGGAAGGGATTGCATATAGGTATAAGACTGTGCCAGCAACAGAAAGGCTGCCAAAGGGTGCATGGTGGAACATTTTTGTTTGCAGTATCATCATATGGTGGAGTGGCGCTTGGGTATACGGGAGCCTTAGTAAATGATGGCCATCTTCATGTGGAGTTTGGTTTTGCCAGATTCAGACAACTGCATAGCCTAGCTTTACTCTAGGTTTGTCACTCCACAAGGCCAGGCTGCAAAAACAAACAAATAAAAGAAGTCTCCCTCCCCGAAAATGGTGCCAATCTGTTTCATTTTTTAATATTTACTTTTGATGAATTACAACAATATATAATAAGGGGATATACAGTAATGTTATATGTATACAGTGTGGAATGACTGAATCAAGGTAATCAGCATACCCATCACCTTAAATACTTATCATTTATTCCTCCTAATTGCAACTTTGTACCCTTTGACCAACATCTCTCTATTCCCTCCACCCCCTAGCTGCTGCTAACTGCCATTCTACTCTGTTTCTATGCGTTCGATTGTTTTAGACAACAGATATGTGAGGTCATGTGGTATTTGTCTTTCTGTGTCTGGCTTACTTCACTTAGCATAATGTTCTCTAGGTTCATCTATGTTGTTGCAATTAACAGAATTCCTGTCTTTCTGAAGGCTGGATGGTATTCCATTGTGTATGTGTACCATATTTTCCTTATCCATTTGCCAGTCTAAATGTTGGTGGACATTTAGATTGATTCCATAACTTGGCTATTTTTGTAAGTAATGCTGCAACGAACATGGAAGTGCATATATCTTTTTGACATACTGATTTCAAGTTCTTAGGTTATGTACCCAGAAGTGGGACTGCTGGATCATGTGGTAGTTCTATTTTTAGGTTTTTGAGAAACATCCATACAGTTTTCCATAATGGCTGTCTAATTTACATTCCAACCACAGTATACAAGGTTCCCTTTTCTGTACATTGTCTTTCACACTCGGTATATTTCATCTTTTTGATAAGTCATTCTGACAGGTGTGAGGTGAAATCTCATTGTGGTTTTAATTTGCATTCCCCTGACGATTAGTGATGTTGAATATTTTTTCACATGTCTGTTGGCCATTTGTATGTCCTCTTTTGAGAAATGTCTATTCAGGTCCTTTGCCTATGTTTAAATCAGGTTGTTTTCTTGTTATTGATTTGAGTTCCTTATATATTTTGGATGTTAATCCCCGTATCAGACGTATGGCTTGTAAATATTTTCCCCAATCCAGAGGTTGTCACTCCACTCTTGTTTTCTTTGCTGTTCAGAAGCTTTTTAGATAAATGTAATCACATTTATCTATTTTTGCTTTGTAGTCTGAGCTCTTGGGATGAAATCCAAAAAAGTTATTCCTCAGATTTTCCTGTTTTCTTTAATTTGTTTTAGTTTCAGGTGTTACATTTAAGTTTTAAATCTATTTTAATTTGATTTTCACATATGGTGTGAGATAAAGGTCCAATTTCATTCTCTGCATGTGGATATCCAGTTTTACTAATACATATTTATTGAAGGAACTGTCCTTATTCCACTGTGTGTTCCTGGCATCTCTGTCGAAAATCAATTGACTGTAAATGTGTGAGCTCATTTCTGGGCTCTCTGTTCTGTTTCATTGGTCAATGCCAGTGCACCATGCCATTTTAATCATCACGTAGCTCTGTAATATAGTTTAAAATTAGGTAGTGTGATACCTCTAGCTTTATTTTTGCTCAAGATTGCCTTGGCTATTCAGAGATTTTGGTAGTTCCATATGAATTTTAGGATTTTTTTTTCTATTTCTGTAAAAAATGACATTGGAATTTTGGTAGAGATTGCATTAAATCTGAAGGCTGGTTTGGGTAGTGTGGACCTTTTAATGATATTCTTTCAATTCATGAACACGGAATATCTTTCCATTTATTTGTGTCTTTGTTTCTTTCATTAATGTTTCATTAATGTTTTATAGTTTTCATTGTATAGATCTTTTACTTCCTTGTTTAAACAAAATGCATTTTGTTTCCATTTTCATTTGTCCCAAAATATTTTTGATTTCTCCTTTGATCCATTGGTTGTTCAGGAACATATTGGTTAAGTTTCACATATTTGCGAAATTTCCAAGATTTCTCCTATTAATGATGTCTAGTTTCATACCATTGTGATTAGAAAAGATACTTAATTTCAGCTCTCTTTAATTTGTTCAGACTTGGTTTGTGGCCAAATATATATAAATAGAATAATTAAACATATGCATAACTGAGAAGTGAATGGTAATCTTCATGCCATTAATCTTTTGTGTGAGTGCTCTGCCTTCCACAAAGGGGGTCATCTATCACTTCAATGATGTAGAGTTCTTCTTTCACTGCCTTCCCTTCCCTACTCAAAACTGAAATCAGATATGAGTCACTTTACATTGACTGCAGCAATTTTAATCAATGTTCTATGTCAATCAGACATTTACATTTTAAACTTTAATTTGGAAAGAAACACATCAGTCTTTTTAAATGAATTTCAAATACCAAGAAACCATGTTGATGATTACCCTTTACTTATTTATTTATTTAATTTATTTGAGACAGGATCTCACTTTGTCGCTCAGGCTGGATGGAATGCAGTGACTCGATCTCAGCTCACTGCAACCTCCGCCTCCAGGGTTCAAGCGATTCTCCTGGCACAGTCTCCTGAGTAGCTGGGATTACAGCTGCCTGCCACCACGCCGGGCTAATTTTTGTATTTTTAGTAGAGACAGGGTTTCACCATGTTGGCCAGGCTGGTCTCGAACTCCTGACTTCAAGTGATCTGCCTGCCTCCGCCTCTGAAAGTGCTGGGATTACAGTCGTGAGCCACCATGCCCAGCCCATAATTACTCTTTAAATAGCAGGGGAGTCTGTAACCCTACTACATATAAGTTGGACTTGAAGGTAAACTTTATTTATTGCTTTTACATAGGAATAGGTATGGAGGGCTTGAAGGGTCAGGTTTTCACTTTGTTTTTCTAATTGTTATCCCTGGGGGCTGGTCCTAAAATAAAGGCAATTCCTGCTTCTTGACTAATCCAACTCCACCGCATATTTCACATAAGCCATTTACATATGAAATGACATGACATTACAGAATTACTAATCACAAGATTCTACAAAGTAGGAAAATTATTGCCATGGGGGCAATAATTTAAATAAAAGCAGCAGTGCTCCATACACCTGTACTGCTATATATGGAGAATAATTTTCACTGGACTCTCAACTGACTGCTGTATACATGAATCTCAATTGACTGTTGTATACACCGAGCCGAAATGAAGTCACCAAAGCAACTGGGAAAAAAAAACAAGGACAATGTTAGGTACCTTAAAATAATGCTTCATACTCATGGTAACCTATCAGTTGAAGAAACAGTTTGGCTCACTAGTATTTAAGCAAATTAGTAAAAACATACCTATTCGGGAACTAACTTTCAGCTATTAATGTCTAATGTGTTATCTGTAGGCACTAGTTGCAGCTCACCAATTAAATTAAAAGTATGTGACCACTGTTATTATAGAATAAGCCTTCAAAAATCAGCTTGTTTTGGTTCCCTTCTGAGAGGCATTCATGATTGATCTAACTGGGACAGTTCAGATCACTTTTGAACAAAAACCATTTCCTCTTAAATATTGGTAATCAGAAGTTATATAGTCCTATGTCATAGTGAGTTCCAAATACAGTATTTTTTTGGTAGAATTCACTTTACTGTTCTGTGCTTCACATATTTTTAAAAATAGAGACTGGTCTTTCCTTTTCTGAGAAAGGGTCTCACATTGTCATTTAGGCTGGAGTGCAATAGCACGATCACAGCTCACTGCAGACTCAATTCCTTCAGGCTGAAACCATCCCCTTGCCTTAGCTCCCCAAATAGCTAGAACTACGGATGCACACCACCACATCCAGCTCATTTTTGTATTTTTTTGTAGAGACAGGGTTTCACTATGTTGCCTAGGCTGGTCCCCAACTCCTGAGCTCAAGCAGTCTGC